CTGTCCTTTCTTTGGGAACCAAGGGTGTATCTCCTGAACACAATCTAAGAATTAACTGATGGAACCACTTCCGAGGCCTCTCAAAAGCTTCAAGTATTAACGTATACCTTTGTGCCTGCGGATTCTCCCGGCTCAGTGTTACGTTCCCCACACACAGATACGCATTCCCCATTTACCTTAATGGGCTTGCTTCACCCCGGAGCCTTCTGTTGCCTGACCAATCGAGTTCCCCAAGTCAGGGGCCCTTGTTTTGGCTCCATTTGCCATGACCTTTTCAGTTTAGGGATTAACCTAACTGGGGCAAGAGGGAGTGAAGAAACAGCAGACACACATACAGAAAAGCTTGGGTTGGGTGGGTCCTGTGCTCTGATGGAGACACATGGAAAACAGCAAGGTCATGAGTTTACAGCTGAAGGAGGAGGCAGATTGAGCTCATCTTGGCGGGGTCTCTGTAGGGGACAGTTTCACGTTGTAAACACCCAGAAGCAGGAAGCTGTGCTTGACATTTTCTTCAGATTCTGTCAGTATTCACACAGGGACCAGGGCAAGGCTTTGTCTGTCCTGTGGGTCTAAGGCATTGGAGGCCTTGACAGGTAATCACGTCCACAACACGTGTTTACTCAGGGCTTCTGCTCACCACGATGTGATCTCGGGTCTTTCCATTCTTTGCTCAGCCTTTCTTGAGACTGTACAGTAGGTGGGTACTGTGACCATTCTCCCTCCTGCCCATCTCCTTCCATAGGTGCCATGACCATACCTCAGGGTGAAGGGTCTTCCCTCCTCCCCGTCATGGCTTCTAAAACATTTCTGTCACAACTAATGTTTCCATGTCCCCATCTTGAAGGATGAAAACTTAGACCTTACCATTAGAAAGAAATTCCTTATTGTCAATTACAGAACTAGTGTTCCCGGGTATATTGGCTCGCATCCATAATTCCAGCATTCAGGAGGTCAAGGTAGAAGGCTCACTGCAAGCTTGAGGCCAGAATAGGTTATTTTTTTTAAATCCTTGTATCTGAGGAGTTGGACTTCAGAGTCCCAAAGCTTCCTCCCCTTAGTATAACACACTTGTAACCAAATGTCATCCCTAACACACACACCTAATTTGTAATCTTATTTCATACTAAGCATCATAGACTGTCAGGCAAGAGGTCTTGAGTCTTTAACATTTCTGAAGTAACATTTATTTTATAAGCATAAATAAGTCATAACTTAAGCGATAGCCATTTTATTCCCTAATGGTAAATGAACTGATTAAATTACAAAAAGGACATCTAAATTAGATATACATTTTTATCTTCTCTCTACAAAGTGTATGTTCAAGTGTGTGTGTGTGTGTCGGTGTATATATGTCTGCTTGTGTGTCTCTATGCATATGTTTGTGTATTGTATGTCTGTATTACGTGTGTGTATGTTTGTGTGTGTCTGCTTGTACATGTGTGTGAATGTGTGTTAGTGAATGTCTGTCTTTTGTGTGTATGTATGTGCATATACATGTGCTAGTGAACTGCTTTGTTGTGTGTGTGCACATGAGTGTGTTAGTGGATTGCTGTGTAAAATGTAAGTGCAGATGGTAGTGGATGTCTGTGTTATGTGTGTGTGTGGGGGGGTGGGTGGGTGGGTGCGTGTGTGTGCATCAGTGGATGTCTGTGTTATGTGTGTGTGCCTGTGTGTACATCAGTGGATGTCTGTGTTATGTGTGTGTGTATGTTATGTGTGTGTGCATGTGTGTGCATCAGTGGATGTCTGTGGCAATGAACTAAGAGCTTTATTGATTTTCATGTTTCCTCTGACCAGTGATATGTATGATGGGAAATGTAGCTAGTCTCTTCCATTTTTCAGTTCTGTTTTGCTGTCTTCCTACAATAATATTCTCTTGGATTTTTTAAATTAAATTTTGTTCATAAATTTGAAAAACTTGAATCCCATAAAGTTTTTTGGTCTACCGAGTCTTGAGGCAGTTCTGAGAGTATACTGGAGACTTGCAAAAGGGCAGCTCTTTCAAAAGCCAAAATCTACTTACTTTCAATCAAATTTTTATTTGCTTCTAAGAAGCAAAATTATGCTAGAAATTTTTACAAGAGTATCACCATCATAGATAAAAATGTCTAACCTAAACTACTGATATGTAAGTTACAGATCAAAATCAAAAGGGAGAAATTTTCTGATACTATTTAGTTCCTGATAATACACAGAATACTCAGAACACAACATACGGAACTGGACTTTATTTATATTAGTTAACTAGCCACATAATATGTAATTTATTAATTGCATTAAGTGACTCTACGTGGGTATCTATGTCATTCTGTTAATTAGTTTTGAGTTCCAAAGCCACTCTTCAATACTCGGTTGTGTGGCACTGGGGTTAGAACTCCAGAGTCATGTACCTGCATTGCTAGGTTTCCTGTTGGCTCTACAGTTAGGGAGTTTGGAGGATTCAAGCAGGGAGGAGATATTCTGCTTGCGTTATTTGCTCCAGTATCCCATAGCAACACTTCTTTCCTTCAGCAGCGGCAGACGAATCTAGTTAGTACTTGCTCTAATATTTGTGGACCGGCTTTGTCAGAGACTCTAAGTGTCTTCAGCACCAGGCGGTTGGCATCAATGCCTCTGCTCACAGCTTTGCTCTTACTCCACAGAGGCTCATCTGGGAAACCAAAGACTTCAGCAGTAGATAAAAGCCAAGTCCCTCCCTGAGTGCCAGGTCTTCCCTTCCTTGGGGACTCTCCTAACATTCTTTTGAAGTGGTTCTAGCCTTGGCTTTCTGTTTCTGTGGTTGCTACCTGGTGATGCCTGGAAGTCTGTGGTGATTGGAACTTATTCAAGCCGGTTTGAGGCGGCTGAACTTGCCATCCTCAACTTTCTCCACAAATTACATATAAGCTAAAAACCAAACTAAGTCAAAGCTAATGGGCTCTTGTTAATTTTGCTTTATCCCAGTGTTACTGAAGAATTGTGAAGGAAGAAAGAAGGAGGGGCCAAGGAGACACTCAAAGCCTTTCCTTTAATTGGGAACAAATCAGATATGTCTGGTTTCTCCCCCTTTTCGTCAATATAACAGAGTGCTGGATGTCTTAGCTAGCTCAATAAGACATGTGAAGGCAATAAAAAGGACACAAAGGATTCAGTGTATCCTTATTTGCAGATGATAGGATTCTGTACATAAAAGACCCCGAAGAGTCCATGAGACATATCCCACACCTGGTAAACACATCCACAAAGTAGCAGGACTCAAAAATAGCACTAAAAAATTCATAGCCTTTCTATATGCAAATGACAAGCACACCAAGGAAGAAATTAGGGAAACAATTAAGTTCGCAACAGCCTTAAAAAATCATGGAACAAATATGACTAAGGAAGTGAAATACCTGTATGATAAAGATATTAAGACACTGAAAAAGGACACTGAAGATTATACCAGGAGATGGAAAGAGCGCCCATGCTCCTGGATTGGCAGGATTAATACTACAAAAACAGCCGTCCTACAAAAAACAACTTAAAGATATTATGCAATTCTTATCAAAATTTAAATGCAATTCTTTACTGAAAAAAACCTTAAATGTTATAAAAAATATGAAAGACTCATAACAACAAAAATCCAGCAAAAGGATGGCTGGAGGTGTCACCATCGAATATTTCAAGTTTTACTCAGGGCATACTCAAAGAACCCTACATCCTATTATCCTCATTCGTTTCCTACTGGGGTGATGGGACATCCTGACCAATAGCAGTTTGGGAAGGAAAACTCTTATTTCTCCTCCCAGATTAAAGTCCTTCATGAAGTTAATTCAGTGAATGAACTAGAGTAGGGTCCTGGAGGCAGCAACTAAAGCAGAGGCCCCAGAGGGTACTGCTTTCTGGCTTAGTTCCCATGGCTTACTCAGCTTGAGTCCTTACACAAGCTTGGGTATCCTACCCAGGAATGACACCATTTCCAGTGAGCTGGACCCTTCCACATCAGTCTCCAATTGAGAAAATGCCCTAGAGCTTTGCCTGCAACCTGACGTGTGCATTTTCTCAATAGATACTCTTCTTTCCAGAAAACTCTAGCTTGTGTCAGGTTAACAAACACTCAACCAAGACAACAGGCGCCTTGCCATACTAAACACTGGCATGCTAAAATATTACTATTAATTCATAACCTTTCCTTTTTTGTTTATCCCTAAGATCTCAAATTAATATCAACATCACACTATAATAAAGCATGGTATAACCTTTAAAGTCCCACAGCATGAAAAAGTTCAGTCTCTTCAAAGTACCTCTAAAGTGGCTCTAAAATGCCAAAGACTGAGCTCCTTTAAAGTCACAAGCAAGTTAGGTAAGAATTGGGGCACAGCCCCAATCAGAGCCCAGAGAGAACCAGGGGATAGTGAAATCAGAGCCAAATCAAAGGTTAACAGTAGAAATTAAATCCTGTAGCTCAATGTCCCACATCTGGGACTGACTGAGACCTTGGTGTGGGCAGTTCCATCTCTCTGTGTCTGCCGCCCACGGCACACTCAGCTCTCCCCATCCACTCTAATCATAGATTACTATTAACGTCATCAAAGAGCTCGACAGCAAATTAAAACACAATCCAAGTTTTAAAAGGGCAAAGGCGAGAATAGAAATTCCTCAAAAAGAGGGGCACTGATAGCCAAAATATTTGTAAAAAGGATTAAAATCATTAGTTATTAGGAAAATACACATCAAAATCACAGTGGGATTTTACTTCTCTGAGGATGCAATGATAATGTCAAAAAGAAAGAGGATGACAAGGAGGAAAGGGAAATTTTATATAGTGTTGCTGCAGATGCAATGCAGAGCGGCCATTGCAGAACAAAGAGCGGCTGTGCAGTAAGGGAAGAGCTACCACCTACCCCAGAAACCACGTTCCTGAGTACCTATGCAACGTCAATGGAATAGTTGTGTTGAAAACAACTCCCTTGTTTATTACAGCAATATTTGCAATAGCTAAGACTCAAAGCACCATCAACAGATGAGGAACAGAAGAACAGAACAGAATGGTTTTTATTGTAAAAAAAATTCTGACATTTGCAGCAATATGGACGAAATTACAAAACTTTATGTTAAGTGCAATGAGACAGACATTGAACAAACACTGTGTAATTCACAAACAGGAAATACTTCAGAAGTTGTTATCTAGGAAAGAAAAAGTGGAGTGAGAAGTGGAGAAGGAAAGGGATGGGAGAAGTTGATAGTTACATCGAAAAATTCTACTGTTCGGTTTCATAATAGGGTCATTATAGCGAATAATAATGTGCTACATGTTACTAAATGTTACTAAATAAAACATTATATTCTGAATAATCCTTTCAGGAAAAAAATAAATATTTGTGAAAGATATGCTAATTACACTATTTGATAATACAATATATATATATATAGCTACTGAGGCTTTACACCACAACAGATGCTTAGAAATATTACAGATCAGTTATAAATAAAATTTTAGCACAGAATCCCCACACCCCACAAAACATACTTTATCATCTCATTAGGGAAACTGAAAACTACTCATCCAAATGGCAAGTTTCTCGTGTAAGATGAAATGAAAGGAGATACGGAGGAAGTGCGTTAGCACAGCCGGAGAAGCGGAATGACTGTTGAACAGATGCAGCTGGAGACGAAAGTGGAGAGTCTGAGAGACCAGAGAGAACCGGGAGATAGCGAAAGCATTGCTCTTCCTACATGGAGAGTCACCGCGGGCCCTGGATAGGTGTCCTCAGTCCACGTGCAGAGCAAAGGGAACAACGTCACCTTGACTCTCATTTCTCTCAAAGCAGGCAAGGAACTCTTGCTTTTCCTTTTGTTCTATTTCTTTTTTCCTCTTCCAACTCCTTTTTTCTTTTTCATTTCCTCTATATAGGTCAGGTTTGTCTCAACCCTACTCTGTGGTTCAGACTACCAAAAAATTATAATTCTCATATTTCAGCCTCTCTGGTACTGTGATTATTAAATATGCCACAACAACAGACACCAACCCCATCAATCAGGAATAGTTACTCCCCGTCTATTTGTTATATACAATCACTGGTGTCTGTTGCACAAAATCAAGAATGTGAGTTGTCCTGTTCGGTCCTCACAACAGCCCTGTGAGGTAGTCAGGAAGCATCATGTCTCTGGAACACAGAAGATAGAGTCCGTAGTGGCAGGATGGATACCCAAGCCCATGTCTTCTGTGTCCTAATCCAGGATGCCTTCCACTGTAAGATGAACTGAGCTCACGGTGGTGAGCACAGCAGGCTCCCTGCTTAGAACCCTTGACTGTTCTTTGAGCTCACAAACACAGTTCTTTCAGACTTGCAACCTCATGCCCTTGCTCAGAGAGTCAACGCACTACATCTGGGTTAGGATCAGCATCAGAAGCATGAAGAGGATGGAACTAGAACGTCTGGAATGAGGGTTGCTGCTTGATTCTTATGGGACCAGGTTGGATGGTTCTAACTTCAAAGCAGCAGAAGTCCAGGAGACAAGAAGCCGTTCAGAGGATCTTCTCATCTAACAATTTATTGATTCCTTCACAAATCCTCTTGAGATTGGGCCTGCAGTTTCCACGCGGACCATAGAGGGTGGAAAGGAACTCCACGTCAGCAAAGTGGTTGAAGACATGGTTTATGCGTCCATGGGTTCTGGGTGTCAAATGTCGCTGCACCAGTTCGTGGACCAGGTCCTTGCATTCATGCAGCAGCTTAGAGAGCACGTTTGTGTCAAAGGTGTATTCTACTTCATAGAAGCTGACCATGGTCATGGCAGTCTGGTTCAGCTTCTTCCGCAGTTTCTCCACAATTACAACTTCCTCCTGACTGAACTGTTTGTTCCGGTAGAGGATGCCGATTTTGATGGCCACCTTGATTGAGTCTTTCATGATCTTGTGGGCTTCCTTCTTGCTATGCGTGTGCTCCTCGGTGACTTTGTAGAGCTCGTCAAAAATCTCACTGCTGGTGTCATCAATCAGCATGTTGGCTACAGTTTTGCTGGCTATTTTGCTCAGGATCTTCTTCTGGGCTTGAAGGGCAAGACTTTTTGAGCTGAACACATTAGGACCTATGGTAAAGAAATAAGCACATGAAGGACTATGAGAACTGTTACATTTTTTTTGCAAGTAAAACACATTAAGTTAATCTTACATCCTTTGAACACAAGCTAATGTCTATATCCACAGACGCTTAACTGAACTCCACCCCAGATCTCCCAAGTGCTTAGATTATAGGCGTGTGTCACCATGCCCTGCCCACCAACATTTTTATTAATTTTATTTTGCATTTATTTGTGTTGTGCGTGTGTATGCATACACACAATGTGTGGGCACACATGTTATGGTCACGGGGCAGCTTTGTGGAGTCTCAAGGGTTGAACTCAGTTTTTCAGGCTTGGTGGCAAGCACCCTTGCAACAACCGAATCAATCTCATCAACCCTCATCACTGTTCTTGGCAGCACAAAGAAAGACACTTTATGGGGAAATAGACGTCAAAAATGCCGAACCACCAGCTGACCTGCCCTCTGCACATGGGCCGGATCCTTCTGAGAAGTTTCTGAATGCTACTCAGGATGCTCATCCATCTGTTCTGGAATCATCTTCCCCTCTTCCAGACCACGTCTTACCAGTGTAGACCTACCCAATGCATGAGGCCTCTCTGACTTGACTACTTACCAAAGGTTTCCCTACAGCCACTGGAAACTATTCATTTTTGCAACTTACATAAGACAGAATTAGTGCATGAGCTCAGAATGTAGTCAACTTCTAGGGACAATATAGACAAGTTGATTGTGGAAATCTTTGTTTGTTTTTGCCCAAGTCTCAGGATCCATGTTTTATTGAATCTAAGATATGTTATTTTCATTTTCAAGGTCTTGGAAATTGTGGCATGCTCCAGATGCCAGGCAGCTGTGTGCTGGGGTTGTCATTGCCTGGATGTTCAACTTACACAACAGAGTCAGAAATTTGGGAGGAAGTCAAAAGAACTCTGTTAAGAATAATACCCAACCAATGTTTACTTGCTTATTAGTTACTTAATTTAATTGTTTATTTTTATTTTTTTGAGGTGGGGTCTCACAACGTGGGGATTTAGCTTAGTTGGAGGGAAGTTCCTTAGCAACCACAGCTCCAGTAAAAAAAAAAAAAGACAAAAAAGAAAGTCACAAAGACACAGGATTTCACTCTGTAGCCCAGGCTGGTCTGAAATTCACTCTGTAGCCCAGGCTGGTCTGGAACTTATATAGCATAAGCTAGATTTGAACTCAAGATCCTCCTGCTTCTGCCTCCTAAGTGTTGGGGTTACAGTGTGTGTCTCTGTGCCCAGATCACTAATTCTCAAGGGCACAGAATGTTACTGTGTGGGAAATGCAAATAACCAACAAATGACAAATCAAGCATTGTGTGATTAGCACACTGAAGGAAACGCAGGAAAACCACAGACAGCTTATTTTGCTCTTTTCTGCTTCGTGAATAAAGGAGAGCATATGTGTTTTTAAATCCTACAACACTGTGTCTGCATAAGTCTATCCTGAATTTGTTAAAATACTCCACGAAGTCTATAACTGGCCTATGTGGCCCAAGCTGGCTTCGATCTTGCAATACTCTCACTTCTACTCTCTGGTGCTGGGATTGCAAGAATGGACCACCACCCTTGGCTCACTCACAGAACTTTAATTTCATGTATGCTCTCCAATTAATCCATCATAATTATCTGCAACCAAAGCGTGTAAATAAATTGAAATTTAAGGAAAAGTCTGGTGATGATAAACCTCCACAGACTGAAAATTTTCTTTTATTGGGGCACAGTGCTCATACCAAGACTAATCTGGGCTGAATATTTATTAATCTTTAAAAAATAAAGCTTTATAAGAAACACATCTCTAAATGACATGTGGAATAGCAGGCTAAGGTACTTTGATTAAAAGACGCATCATCAGTGTGAATTTCAGATTGGCTCTTTGTCTGAGAAGGTTCTCCACCCAGAGCTATAAACTTCTTTTAACTTCTCCCTAGGAGGAAGCACCATGATTGAACAATGGGAAGAAGGATCACCATGCCTTGGCCTCGTGCATCTTCTTGGGCAAATGAATCTGTATAAAGTCTGCACAGAAAGGACGATAGATGAGGGGATTTGTGTCTGAAAGTCCATTTCCTCAAAGCTCTCTTCGTCTGAGCTGGGTAACAATGCATGCTCACACGAAGGAGGAGGAGCACAGGTTTGAGGTTAGCCTGGGCTATTGAGAGACTTCAAAATAAAACAAGAAATCTGGCTGAGAGATGGCTCAGCAGTTAACAACATGGTATGATTGCTCTTGCAGAAAACCTGAGTTCAGTTTCCGGGACCTACACCAGGCAGCTCACAACTGCCTGTAAGTCTGTCTCCAGAGGATGGCCTCTTCTGGTCCCTGTGGGCACCTGTGCTCATCCATACACAGAGAGACAGACACATGCATGCACGCACACACACACTTGAAAATAGGATAAATCTTCTTTTTAAGACAAAATAATGTCTTAAAGGAAAAAAAGTCTCTTAAAGAAATTTGAAAACACTGGGTATTACACAAAATGAAATGGATTATTTTCTGTGAGGTTTAATAAATACATTACAGTAGTCCATCAATTCCAAGAGAAGACGGAAATGACTGGGGAAGAAAATGTCTACTTGCAACACGATGTCCATTTACCGGTACCTGGAACCAACGCTGTCTTACACGACAAAACCTATGTGGTTAAGGGTCTTGAAGCAGAGAGATTATGTTGTTCCGTCCACGCACAGGCTCATGGAATGATGTGTTGCTGCAAGGGGATAAGACGAGGGGACCAGAAGCAGAAGAGAAAGTGGTGTGAGAGTAGAAGCAGAGGCTGAGGTGACGTCACTGCCAGCTCTGCAGATGGAGGATGCGGACATGAGCCAAGGAATCTGGGTGGCCTGTGGAAGCTAGAAATGCAAGATGAAGCTTTCTTCCTTGCACCTCCCAAATCCCTGCGAACCTGCTTCAGACTTCTGAGTTCCAGGACCATGAAGACAAACTCACAGCATCTCAAGGCTGTTTATGGTGGATTGTTATGGCGGAGGAGACTAATTTGGGTGGGTAGAAAGAAAATTTTCCACTTACTCACCATGATACCAAGCCCCTCGGTGGTTTCCCTAAGGTTTCTGGCCATCTCTCTAGAAGGAGAATTATTTATCTGCAAATAAACAGGACTTACAAACTTCTACTCTGAGAACTCAAGAAGGTCTGAATATGGAAATCTCCAAACACTTGAAAGATCACAAGGCTTGAGACAGAAGAAGCCAAACAAAAACCATCAAAACCACCAGGAAAACAAATGAAACAAAAAGTCGCATCACCAAGTGGATTGCCCCAGGACCACAGAATTGCTGCATTCAACGTGATCATAAATGTGCCTCATCACAGAGGGCTCCCGACCCATCGCCCCAGATGTCCCGGGAAGGAAGGCTCTGTGATCACTCCAATGAGTTTTAGATGATCACCTACTTTTGCTCTCGATGGTTAGTACATCAGATATTGGCAAGGCTTCAAGAAGTCCTGCAGGAAAGATAATCTCATGGTTTTATTTAGCTACCCAGTCACAAACTTACTAGGCACACACACACACACAAATATATATATATATATATATATATATATATATATAAAACACATCCCATAGGATGCATTATGAGAAACAGTGTGAAGGATTAGCAGAAGTAAAATCAAGACAATCAGGACCACAGAACACTTTTCAACCCCCAGAGCCCTATGGGGGAGGAGATACACAGTGCTACTAAGAATTTAAGGGAGTGTGGACCCCAGAACATGGTCTTATTCAGAGATGTTTTGCACATGGATATCCTGGCTTTTTCTATCCATACTTCTGTGTTAGCATGCTATAGGGCAACATGTTGGTAATATACCAGGAAGAGACACTAACTTCTAGAAGAGTCAAGTTTTGGAAACTAAAGTCAAGGATAAACTGAATAGGGAAGCAAGCTTCACTACGGCTAGTGGGAAACACTAAAATGTTCAGAATCAGTATTGATACAATCTATAGCCAGGGATAATTCTGTTAATTGTCTCTGAACAGAAGTCCCATTATCTAGCCATTAAGGGCAAGAGCCAGTTTCTGAGGCTTAGGGATCCCTGACTCCAATGCGACAGTGGAAATGAACTAGAGAGAGAACACCAAGATGCTCTATGTGGACACTTGAGTACGTAGGAAAAGCCTGGAGCAAGACCGAGCTGCTGTGTTAAAAACAGCGTTCAGCCAGAGCACAAGTTATACCTCCATATTTCCAGAAAACACGAAGCACTCCCAGATGGTGACATGGCATGCCCATAGTGGCAAACAGAAGGAAGGTCTCACCAGGCTTGGTGAGTGGGCAGGAGAGGCAGAGGAGCCTCATGAGAACAGGTAATAAACTTGGGGAGGGAGGCGAAGTAAATGATGGTTAGAAAAGACATCAGACTTTGCGCTGTCACCAGAACCCCGGAGAGTGCTCTTGAGCGCGACATCAGGTTGTGTGGAGGGAGGGACCATAGCACAGCTATTCTGTCCCCCTCCTCACAGGACTCTCATTCTCTTCCGCTGTAGCTTCTCTAGAAAGTGAGTGGAGAACTTGAACATGAGTTCGGAGAGGCAGATTAACATCCTACAACAGAGGCTCCTTTGTAAGAGCAAGCAAATAGCATCACTTCATTGCTAGTGACAGCTCAGGATGACGGCAGGGGAAAATTAGCTGCAAATGTTAAGCAGAAGTTATAAACGGACGTGGTATCCGGATGGAAGCAGTGTGTGCTGTTTAGGGAGCACCATCTGTCAGGGCGGGGAATCAAGTGTACAGGGAAGGTGGGGGGCAAGACCGTGGCCATGGAGAAGGCAAGACCCAGATGGAGGAGCTCAGAAGACTTCTGGCCACCCGTCACTTATGTTTCCGTGCAAGGAACAGGAAACATTGCAGGTGTTTTGAGTGGGGCATGCTCACAGACAGCTCTTTAACTTCCTTCCGCAGGGAGTTCAGAAAGTGTCTGTCTGCAAGACACAAAGTCAAAGACAGGGGTGGGG